CAGAACGAAGAACAGGAGGGGAAGGACGAGGAGGTGCGGACTGAATCAGGATCGAAGGGACCCCCACCCCCAAGTCTGGGTCTCGAAAAGCAAAGCAGGGCAGCCCTGGGGCATCCGGGTGAGCAACCAACCGAGCACGTTGCAACAGACGAAACCTAGCTTGCAACGCACGCGCCGCCTGTACCCGAATAGAATCAGAGGATTGGGTAAATTCAGTCACAAGCAAGCAGCAACACTCACAGGACTCAGGGTCGAAAGTATCACCGACCAAACAGGCAGTGCGGCGGAGGCAAAAACAATGAGGGTCACCCCAAGACAAGGGGACCGAACAACCCTCAAACTCGCACACAGCGAGCGGGACTCCGAGGTCACATCCATCGGACCCACGCGCCCCCTAGGGGATTCCCAGGGTCCTGAGCGTTTACTTTAAGAGGACTCTCGTTCAGGTAGTCCCAGGCAGGGTGCAGCTAACCGGCACCCAAAACTACCAAGCAAATCTCTATAGCTGAACCCCAGGGACGTGTACACTCATGGGGACCTAGCAGGGGGTGCCACCGAGGAGAACCGTGGAATGGCAAACACCAATGGAATAATAGGGCAGAACCCCCCCCCCCCCAGAAGGCAAAAACAAAAAGAAAAACAAAACCCTGCAAGAGGACAGCGAACCCCAAGGAACCGAGTCGGCCCCTATATCGGGAATACAAACCTGCGCAGCACCCTGTGCCCCTACCAGTGCAAACTGAATCTTACCCGCAGGTAACAAGGAAGAACAGAACACCCAAGAGCCTAACAGGCGGCCGAACAATAGAACGGACCAGAAAAATGCTGACCATTGCGTCAGCCAGAAAAATGATAGGATAGATTATGAGAACTTTCAAATCCAGGGATCCCATCACGATGGTTGTACTCTTCAAGTCACTTGTGTTGTCCTGTCTCGAATACTGTTCAGTATTCACTTCCCCCTTCAGAGCAGGAGAGATTGCTGAAAGAGAGAGAATACAGAGAACATATACGGCACGCATAGACGCGATAAAGCACCTAAATTATTGGGATCGTCTCAAAGTCCTCCAAATGTACTCACTAGAAAGGAGATGAGAGATACCAAATAATATACACATGGAAAATACTGGAAGGCCAGGTCCCTAATCTACACAGTAAAATAACAATGTACTGGAGTGAATGATATGGAAGAAAATGCAGAATAGAACCAGTGAAGAGCAGAGGTGCCATAGGCACAATCAGAGAACACTGTATAAACATCAGAGATCCGCGGGTGTTCAACGTCCTCCCAGCGAATATAAGAAATATTGCCGGAACAACCGTGGACATCTTCAAGCGAAAACTAGACTGTTTTCTAAAAGACGTTCCGGACCAACCAGGCTGTGGTGGGTATGTGGGCTTGCAGGCCGCTCCTAGCAACAGCCTGGTGGACCAAACTCTCACAAGTCGAACCTGGCCTTGGGCCGGGCTTGGGAGTAGAAGAACTCCCAGAACAACATCAACAAGGTATCAACCATGACCAGCAAAGGCAGGTCCCGAGGAGCCTGTGGAAGGTGGCCCCAAGGGCAGTACTTACAGGGCACCTAGGGAAGGCAGCCCTAGGCACATGCAACTCGAATATTGAAGATAACTCCTGGCACTCGCACCCACAGAAAACAAACACTATACACGAAGCACAGTGCTGTAGCGACACTGGAGCCAGAGCACACGACCTTCGCCTATAGCATCAGCCTCAAGAACCGAGGTGTGGGTAGCCAGCGTCAAGGGTTTGGAGCTCCCCCCTTCCCCATCCCGGGGAGGGAAGAGCTGCGCAGACAGCGGCGCGGCGACATGTGATGTCATACTAGTTTGCTCGTTTTCTGTTGGGGAGTTCTATCCACTAGTTCAGCTTTTGGTAGCAATTTAAACCAAAATAGGGGTTTGTTTTGAGGCGCTTACCTTTCTGGGTGCCTGATCCAGTCGATGGCAGACTTAGAATGCTTCCAACCACACAGGGGATTCTATAGGCCATTGCTCCCCTTGCCTCTGAGGGGGGCCCGGTTCTGGCCCTGGTCCCCGGTAGGCCTAAGAACTCCATACACATGACTGATGCCAAAGTCTGACAGTAGCATAAAAGCCTGGGATAGCTCCGGGGAGCTGACGGGGCTCCCCCCAAAAAATATTATTATTAATAAATAATAATAAAATGTTTGCAAGAGAATTAATGCACACTTTATTTTGTATTTATGTGCAAAGTATGAACACTATATACTTTTATGAGGAAAATTATTATGGTACTCATTTATATCGTACATATCACTACACAGACATTGGACTTGTAGATTCACACACCTCATAGTTCAACATGTTAAACAAGCTATGAGGATGAGGGAAGGGGACGTTCCCTCCATGCTGGATTTGATATTTACCAGGAAAGAGGAAGAGACATTTGACATTCAGTACCTCCCTTCCTTGGGTAAAAGTGGCCATGTCTTTTGGGGAATAAAGTATGCAATGCGTTATGATCTGGAAGAAAATGAAGTTGAAGCAGTTGAAAAGCCTGATTTCAGGAGAGGTCATTATGGGGAACTCAGACATTTCTTTAAGGAATTTGACTGGAAAGACTTGCTGTTAGGACATGAGGTAAATTAAATGTATGTCAAGTTTTGTGAAATATATGATAAAGACACAACAAAATTTATACCAAAGCAGAGATGCAGAACTAGGAAACAGGATTGGTTCAATAGAAATTGCAAGAGGGCCAGAGACCAAAAGATACAAAAATGGAATCAATATAGGAAGAGGCCAAACCCCCAAAGATACCAGCAATACAAAGATGCAAGAAACAACTACACGGCAGTGAGGAGAGGGGCAGAAAATTTTTTTGAAAAAGGGATTGCGGACAACAACAAAGTGTAGGTAAAGGAAAATATTCCAAGGTTGAAAATGGGAAATAGATTCACGGAAAAAAGAAATGTGTGAAACATTAAACGAAAAGTTCCAAAGTGTGTTTGTACAAAATGAAATCTTCAGGGAACCAGACACAATAAGAGTTCCAGAGAACAACATAGAGCATAGAGGTGTCTAGAGACGAAGTGGAAAAACTGCTCAAGGAGCTAAGTAAGAACAAAGCAGTTGGTCCAGATGGAGTTTCACCATGGGTTCTGAGAGAATGTGCATCTGAGCTCAGCATTTCACTTCAATTGATTTTTCAGGCATCCCTGTGTAGATGAGTTGTAGCCAATGTGTGGAGAAAGGCTAACATAGTTCCAATCTACGAAAGTGGCAGCAGGGAAGACCCCCTCAATTATAGACCGGTATCATTCATTAACAAGTGTAATTGTCAAAATATTGGAAAAAATAATTAAAACTAAATGGGTAGAACACCTGGAGTGCACCCCCAAATGAAATTTGGAATTCCATTTGTCAAATGTTAAATTCCAGTCAAATGGAATTTAATGTGAATAAATGCCATGTTATGGAATGTGGAATTGGAGAACACAGATCCCACACAACCTATAAATTATGTGAGAAATCTTTGAAGAATTCTGACAAAGAGAGATCTAGGGGTGGTTCCAGGTAGAAAACTGTCACCTGAGGACCACATTAAGAACATTGTGCGAGGAGCCTATGCTGCACTTTCTAATTTCAGAATTGCTTTTAAATACATGGATGGCGAAATACTAAAGAAATTGGTCATGACTTTTGTAAGACCAAAGCTGGAATATGCAGCGGTTGTGTGGTGCCCATATCTTAAAAAGTACATCAACAAACTGGAAAAGGTGCAAAGACATGTTACTAAGTGGCTCCCAGAACTGATGGGCAAGAGTTACAAGGAGAGGTTAGAGGCATTAAATATGCAAAAACTAGAAGATAGAAGAAAAAAAAGAGGCAATATGATCACTACGTACAAAATAGTAACAGGAATCGATAAAATTGATAGGGAAGAATTCCTGAGACCCGGAACTTCAAGAACAAGACGTCATTGATTTAAACTAACGAAACAAAGCTGCCGGAGAAATATAAGAAAATTCACTCTTGTAAACAGAGTAGTAGACGGTTGAAACAAGTTAGGTGAGGTGGTGGTGGAGGACAAAACCGTCAGTAATTTCAAAGCGTTATATGACAAAGAGTGCTGGGAAGACGGGACACCACGAGTGTAGCTCTCATCCTGTAACTACACTTAGGTAATTACAGACTGTACATGCATAACCATTTATAACAATACATGAAGGGGTACCCAGCTGTGCCCAGGTCTCTTCCACCATATACACATGGAATATACTGGAGGGACAGGTCCCAAATCTGCACAGTAAAATAACAACATACTGGAGTGAACGATATGGAAGAAAATGCAGAATAGAACCAGTGAAGAGCAGAGGTGCCATAGGCACAATCAGAGAACACTGTATAAACTTCAGAGGTCCACGGTTGTTCAACATCCTACCAGCGAGCATCAGAAATATTACCGGAACAACCGTGGACATCTTCAAGAGAAAACTAGATTGTTTTCTTCAAGGAGTGCTGGACCAACCGGGCTGTGGTGGGTATGTGGGCCTGCGGGCCACTCCAAGCAACAACCTAGTGGACCAAACTCTCACAAGTCAAGCCTGGCCTTGGGCCGGGCTTGGGGAATATGAGAACTCCCAGAACTCCATCAAGCAGGTACCACTTGTCTCTCCACTTCCTTCCCCTAATCACCACCCCTTTTCCCTCTCAGAAAGTTTATTATTACAAAGCACTAACTGCTGAACAACTCCAAGCAAAACTCAATAAATATTACAGACTTTACTTCATGATAATAATATGGAAGAGGGGGATGGGGTCTATAAATGCAGAACATTTTAGGCCAACATTGACTGGCCTACAATACTTCCCTACCCAACATGATTCATCTCGGAAAGTTGGGCAAGGTTAGCTCCAACCTTAGACAGACAGACATTCCATTTTATTGATATAGATTGTAGATCAATGCACAAGACAAATACAATACTATACAAATAGACACACTTTAGTATTACCTGACTTGTTGCTCCAACACCAGAAGCAATCTGTTGAGCTCCACTTGATACTGCAAACTGGTTCTTTGAGACTTCAATTTCACCTGTTAGCAATGAAACAGCTGATAAATAATGTTTTTCTCATTATTATAAATGCCCACTGTACAAGCTTTTAACACTACTGTATAGCACTCTTCGAACGTTCATGGCATCCGATTTTTTTCTCTTGAGTCCGAGCATCGGACTGTGCTGGCGTTCAATAAAAAAATAGTTGTATAAAATTCATTTATTATCCGATCAACTTCGGGATAGTTTTAAAATGCGCGCCTTTAGAGTGCGCACAATTTGATACCAAAATGAAAAATGTAACACAAAAATTTATGTCAGAACACTGGAAAGATATAAATAATTTTGTGATGATGAGCGTCCAAAATTAAAATATTTGTTAAAATTCCAGTTATTGCTCTATTATTATGGGAATAGTTTTAAAATGTGCGCCTTTAGATTGCGAACAATTTGATACCAAAATGAAAGATGAAACATGAAAATTTATGTCAGAACACTGGAAAGATATAAATAATTTTGTGATGATGAGTGTCCAAAATTAAAATATTTGTTAAAATTCCAGTTATTGCTCTATTATCATGGGAATAGTTTTAAAAGTATGCGCCTTTATTTTGCGAGCAATTTGATGCCAAAATGAAAGACATAACACGAAAATTTATGTTATCAAACTGAACGAGTGTACACATTAGGCTGCGGTGTGCAAATTGGTACTCGTTCATGGGTAACTTTAGACTTTGCTGCGGGGAGTCACGCCGGGCTTTTGAACATTATATGGATATACACCTGCAGGGAATTTAATTGCCAACACAATGATACCAAAATGAATGACGTAGCACGAGAATTAAGGTGAGAAAACTGAAACGAGTATATACATTTTACTGATTTTGTGCACTCACACGTAACTTTCGCCAACTTTAGGCTTTGCTGCGGGGAGTCACGCTGGGCTTTTGGACATTATACGCATATACACCTGTAGGGAATTCTATTGCAAACACAATGATACCAAAATGAACGACGTAGCATGAGAATTAAGGTGAGAAAACTGAAACGAGTATACACAATTCAGTGTGCTATCATCTGCCAATCTTTTGACCATTTCAAAACTTGAAGTGATAGCGAGTCTTCTTCCGTGTTAATTTCCCTACCGATTTAGTTTCTTACCATGTGGGGTTTGTTTTGTTATGCATACCTTTCTGGGTGCCTAACCCCCAGTCGATGGCAGATAAGGAAATCCCCCAACCACAAGGGGGTTTTTCAGGGCCATTGCTCCCTGAAACCACTCTGAAGGGGCTAGATTCTAGGGCTGGTCCCTGGTAGGTCTGAACTCCATAGCTAATGTCCCGGTCTAATATAACATACATTAGCCCGATAAGCTCCAGGGAGCCGTAGGGGCTCCAGGGAGCCGTAGGGGCTCCCCACAGAAAATAACTTAAAAATGTTAAACAAATCTCCAACTTTTTGGCTTCAGTGTCATAAAACTTTCAGCAAAATATTTTCAAAAATTGACTTTAGACGAATTTTTGAAAAATAAGAACGTTTTGTTGATAAGGAGAACAGCTCCTAATAACTGGAACTGAAAGATTATGCAGTAATAAAGAGATGCAAGCACCTGTCTGACGCTCAAAGAAGAACAATAGTAAGAAGTGTCCACAAAGTGGATATGCAGCTGGTCCCTTTATATCATAGTTAATAATACATAATAACAAATAATAATGAATAACTATGTTATTATGATCTATTTTGTTATATATCATATAAATACATTGTCCAATGTTAATATATGTTACTTTCATCAATGTCCCATAAATATTTTTGTAGGGGATTTTTTTTTAATTTTAGTTTTGTTCTCCTTTGTTTATTATATGATTTTGTTGCAACCTTTACATCCTGGAGAGTGCATATGTTCCCCTAACTATGTGAAGATAGAATGAAATTGGTCAACAAATAAGTCGGTCACAACTTGCAAAACTTCGGACTTAATTTTTTGGGGCTGATTTTTCTCTGATTTCAAACTCTATTTTCTTTGTCTCTTTAGGTTGTTTTGATGATTAGGGACCATATTAGTTTTTTTTTACTTATATAAAGTATACCCTAATTATATCCCCTAAATCATTATAATTATTATAATTATCCCTATATTTTGTGTTATTTGGGGGTTATTTTTTCTTGACTTCATTTCAACACATATTGACCTACAACTTTCACATATTCGAGTACGAATGCTAAACAATGTTTATTAAAACATACAATTAAATTAACGAATTAAAACTACCTTTATTCAGTGCTGATAACTTCAACTTCAATTATCTCTGAAACTAGAGTTTCAACTTTGAGTAGCTTCTAAAATTCCAGTTTTTAACCGATTCTCACTATTTTGATATTGTGTGCTGAGCTGTCTGTTCTACAATCCCTTCAGAATGGATTTTTCATGAACTTTATACATATGGAGTTAAAAAATTGTTTGGTTTAAATTTGCCGCATATTTCAAATGCCCTATTGACGATTTTTTTTTACAGTAAACTATACTGAAAACCTATATGAATATAATTTGATGAAAATGAAGATCATATGCTATTCTGAGAGAATAGTAACATTAAATGAACAATTGGTGATAGTTCATATTTTTTATTCTTTAATGAAAATCTGAAGTTTTCAGTATTCAATTTTAAAATAAAATTTTGATTCTCTTGTTTTTCAAGTTACGCTGTGATCAATTAGATAAAGTTAGAACATTTGTATAATTAATTATGCAAAAAAATTATAAAGTGTTTGTGCAAGTTTTAGAAACTCATGTTAAATTATTTTTTGTCAAATAATATATGTATGTATTGCACGGTCTATGGGTTAATTATGTTAACAGTCAATTTCATGTAGATTCCATCTCACATAGGCCTCTAAATGCACGAGAGCTGATGAGTTAGCCAAGAAATCTGCCTTCAAAGCTGTTGGTTACATTGGAATGCCTATAAGCTCTTCGAAAACAATAATGCACGAACAAGTTCAAAGAAGTGAAATCTACACTAGTAATTCCATCTCTATCATCATACTATCATGCAAGAAGAGCCACATAACTATGGATATAATATATAATGAGCAGACTCCTAAATGTTACAAGTCTTGGTCTACCTCTGTAGTAGACCATGTTCAATTCTGAAGCAATTATGTGGTGAAAGTTGTAAATATGATACTCCTTGACCTGTCAAATTTCTATTCATACAGGAAGTCCCATGACTGGTGATTAATGAAATAACACCTTGCCCCAAGTGTAAGAGTGCCATCTACCTTGCAATGGTTCTAGGAATCTTTGTCCCCACGGCCCAGTCTCTGACTTGGTCTCCAGGGTCCAGATTCCCGAAGCAGTTACGCAAGTACTTACGAAACTGTACATCTTGTCTCAATCTTTGGTGGCTTTGTTTACAATTATTAAACAGTTAATGAGCTCTGAAGCACTGGGAGGCTGTTGATAACAATAACAGTTGATTGGGAAGTTTTCATGCTTGTAAACTGTTTAATAAATGTAACCAAAGCCGTCAAAGATTGATGACAGATGTACACGTTCTTAAGTACTTGTGTAACTGCTTCGTGAATCTGGCCCCTGGTTGGTGGTCTGGTCATCCAGGCTATTAGATGCCACTGCACACAGTCTGAGGTGGATGCATGTACAAAACAGCACTTTTGGGTTTGCCCTCTGTAGCTTCATGGTGCATTAGCTCTGGTACCACACACATTCACGAAACTACCAAGCTTCTGAAATTGTACAGATCACAACACACAATACTGTACTAAAATCTGGTGTGCTCATAAAGGTAAGAAAAGCATGAGGATCCAAATTCATCCTCAAAAAATAAAGTAAAGCCACTCCACTCACCTATGAACACACCAAATTTAGGTCTAGAAGCCTGGTAGTTTTGCGGATGTCTCAGTGATACCAAAGCCAATGTACCTGGAACCTACAGAGGCCACCAAGAAAAGGGCATTTCATTATGTTCAATGTTTGATTTTTAGATGAGAATTTATGGTAAGAAAAGCTCCCATGTGGAAACAATGCCTATATTCTCTACAGAGACCACACCATGAACAATTTATATGCCCAAGAGAATTATGACATTTCCATACCTCTAATATATAAAAAAAACTTTTTGGTTTTTAAATACTTGAATACTAGTACTCACCTGTGTTTTTAAGACAATTTTTCTTCAGTCTAAGGGGGGCAGGCCGAATCTGGTCTTGAACAGGTTTACCTCTTCTAGATTCTTTATTGGCACCTCTGGTCAAGTTGAAGCCACTAGTACCAACTGAGGGGTTGTCTTCCACAATACAAATTTCAACGTTACTGCTTCGTCCAACGTTTAATTGGTCATCTTTGCCTCCAGAAGAGCTTACACAATTTTGGATATCGACTTTTTTTCCACAATAATCTTTCTTATTAGATGATTTTAAACAGTTTCCAGAGTCTTTGGCCACTGATTTACTTAGTGGACTCATGCGCTGGCATGCCAGCTGTTCAGTTGTCAGTTGTACATCAGAAGCTAGATTTGTTATCTTTGATGTTTCTACATTCTGAGCTGATGATGTGCTGGGCTCAGCAATATCAAAAGATTTATCATCAGATAAGATAAATGTTCTTCTCATGGGCCGCTTACGTTTATTTTCCACAGCAGAACACTGTTTGTTTACAGCAAATGTGTCTGATTGTTCCAAGGATTCAACCTTTCTCCTCTTATTATTAGGTGTTACTTTTGAGTTTACATCTAATAAATCTTCATCTCCAGATAAGTGGCTTTCTACTTCAATGTCTTCTGTGGTACCAACTGCTTCAATATTTTTCTCAACTTCACTGTGATGCATCTTAGAGGACAAAACTTCTGTGCATTCTGTGCTTGTGTCCTTTGGCACTGAAGATTTATCAATTTCTATCCGACCACGCGAAGAATGTTTACGCTGCGAACTAGATGGGAAAATTTCAAAATCCTCAGCTTCATCCGACTCATACACAAAGCTTTTCTCATAATCCTGACTACTATTAAACAACTTATCTTTTCTACTTAATAATCCTGAATGTTTTGATTGTTTGCGACCAAGACCTAAATGCAATCCTCTCTTTCTTCTTTCCTTCTTTCCTTGAACATCAATCCAATTTCCATCATTCATGCAAATATCAGGTAAAGAATCTTCTGATATCTGAGATTCCACTTCATAAGAATCAGTTGCTTTATGAGCATTCCTAAGAGTCCTATGCTGGATAACATTTTCTGAACAAGCATCTAAATCTAGACCATGTTTTCGAGTTTGTATTTTTGAACGCTCTAAGGAGTCCTTCAATCTTCTATCTACTGTAAGTGGGAATGACCATTTCATTTTATCCCTAATGTGTTTACTCTGATATTCCCCAACGCTTTTCATCATGGCATTAATCATGTTCAAAATTCTTAAAACACAATCCTTTGCTGGCTCTTTCCTGCTTCTAAAGTAGGCCTTAGATGGTTCTTCCTCCTCCAGTCGCCTCCTCTTGAGAGGGACATCAGGATTATCTTCAATAAAGAATACATTTACCTTTCTTTTTCTATCACTTTTAAAGTTATAACTAAGATTTTCTTCATTATCTGATAAATCCATGTTTGCACACGATGTATGTTCTTTTACCTTGTCACATAGTTTAGAACTACTATTCATAGGTGAAGAGTTAACGTCTTGTGAAGTACTCTGTATCATTATGTTTTCATCCTCTGTGGAGATTCCTTTTGCTGACATTTCAGGTTTCTGCAATTTGTTCCGAGATTCTCCATGTCGTGAATCAACTGGAAATGAAGATTGTAATCTATTAGCTTCGGTGCTCAGAGATGCACCTGGTGTAGGAAGTATAAAATCATCATCATCATCATCAATTGTAGCCTCTATTGTATGCTGTATTGACTGTACCTCAAGAGTGTTGGACACCTTTGCATCCTGCAAATTTTGTATCTTCTCTCTGGTACTATTAGATGAGGCAAGACCTTCTAATATTTTCTTCTGACCAATAATTGGAGACAATAACTGTACCCCATCATCTTCTTCATATCCCTCTTGCCAACTGTTTCTGGTATTACAGGGAAGAGGCTGAGAGAGGCGATTTATCTGGTCGAGACCTTTATCCGACTTGGCACTTTGTGATGGAACTATTTCTATACTAGACGACCTTAATGATCGTCTAGGCTCAATTTGACAGTTATTTTGTAAAGCTTTTCTACCTTTTGTAATGCTACTTGTAATATTATTTGCCTCCTGTTCTTCTACTTCAACAGCTTCCTGGTTGGTAGCAGACATTGTACATAGTTTCATTTCATTTCCTTGAGAATTGCTCTCATTCATCTTGCATATTTGCTGAGAATTTCTCTTGGGAGTTTTTGGTACACTTGAAGTTTCCAAAGTTTGTAAATCACAAAACAAGTCCTCCTCAGACCCACGAGGTTGAGCTTGAGATCCTCCCACTGTACTTACTGAAGGCTGGCTGTTAGGCCTAGTCGCAATAGGTGCCGAGCTAGTTAAGGAACAAGAAGGTGAAGGAGACTCACTTGATACCAACAATTCTGGGGACCCTGAACGGAGAAGGTCCAAATCAGGAGTAACATAACCACTACCTGAGAGGCAGTTTGTATCGGCTCCATCTTCTGGCGGAAGAGCCACCACATCAGAGTCGCCTGAATTTTCTTCATTTCCATGCTCTTCATTACAACCAACTTCAGCATGACAGTTTTTCTGCAAAACAAATATTATCTGAATAGGTTTAAAATAAATTTAATTGTGTTTGTGGAAGACAGCAATGTTCACAAAAAAAGGCAAAAACCCTAAAAATCCTAAAACCCTAAAAACCTGGTGAGAAACTAAACAACCCACAGCCACACATCCAGTGCCAATCAAGTAAACCTAAGGCTAAGGTAGCAAAGAACCATGAAAAAATTGTACCCTCACCAAGTAAACCACTACTGAGCACTACCAGCTGTAAAGAAACGGGTCAAAACACAAAAACACACTATGACACACAAGTCATATATAGACAGGTATAAACCCACTGCTTTGATAAACAAAGTTTCAGCTGATGAACACAAGTCATTAAACTTTATTCTGGTTCTTCACCTGACAGGTGCAATATATTGTCAGAAAATTAATGTGAGGAGTTTGGTGAGTTAGACCATTGTTCAAATGTTGCCATCTGGCAGGAGAAGGCTGCAGGTGAGTTAGACCATTGTTCAAATGTTGCCATCTGGCAGGAGAAGACTGCAGACAAGCCAACCAGTAGCTTGCTTAAGCACTCGCTGGCAATCTTAGAGTTGCCAAGAAGATTATAACCCCAATTTTTGTTGTTAGGGTGTACACAATTTGCTCTTATTATAGCTCATAGTAGCTGGCAAATATTCTGGAGCTCTAAATCTGATATTACTGAAGAATATATTACATTCTGCTCACATGAGCTTCTGCTGTCAGTGTTGAGATTATGTCTACTCCCAGGTATTTTTCTTGCAATGTTTCTTGTAATTGCCATTCCTTTATGGTGCAATTAAATACAGATCTCCCTTACCCACTTTCATTATTTTAAACTTATTTGGATTAAAATCTAGCAGCCAATTATCTGCCTACTCCCGAAGTTTGTTAAGGTCTTCTTGCAGCATTCCTACAGTCCTCTCCTCATTAGGTTTGCATCACATGCAAACATCAATATGACAAATTCACTCCATCTGAGATCATTTACATGAATTGAAAAAGATCAATTGTCCTAGAACAGAGCCCTTTGGAACACCACTTCCCACCACTCCTCTCCAGCCTGACATATCCTCTCTGACTTTGATCCTTTGTTTCCATCTGTCAAGTACTCTAGTACCCAGTTTAGAGCATTCATGTTATCTCTGCTTGTCTTTCCACCTTGTATATTTGTCTTTTGTGAGGAACTGTATGAAAAGCTTTTTGGCAATCTAGGAATGTGTATGTAATGCAATTTAACACTATAACCACCATCTTTTTCAGCACTACCATCTGACTTGACTACTGTTTTTGCATTCTCAGCTTCTTATTTCTTGTATTTTCAATAAACCCAGCATTGAATGTAATGAAACGCCATTTTCTGGGTAAGACCCAGAGCTAAACTGGGCTGATGTGTATATATTAGACCGTGGCAAGTCAATCGAAGGAGTTCTAGGCCTACCAGGTACCGGAGCCAGAACCTGGCCCCCTCATCAGAGGCACGAGGAGCAATGGCCTAAAGACACCCCCGTGTAATTGGAAGCAGTCATTGTCTGCCATCTACCAGGTCAGGCACCCACAAAGGCAGGAATTCCAAAACAAACTACTGCTGGTCAAATAAATTGCAAACCGAAAGCCAAACTAGCAACAGAACTCTCCAATCAAAACCAAGGAAAGTAAACAAGTATGACGTCACCACAAACGCCGTGCATCCGTCTGTGCAACCACCCCCCCCTCCTCCTCGGGAGAGAGACGGGGGATCCCAGACCTCCATGCCGGCAACTCCTCAGTTCAGAGGCCAAGTATCAAAAACGCAAAAAAAAAAAAAAAAAAAAAAAAAACGCCGACCGGAGGGAGGGATGCCGGGGAGCCTCCGGGCCTCACCCAGAAAATGGCGTTTCATTACATTCAACGCTGCTTTTCTGTGGAGAACCTCTTTGGCTCCCCGGAGCTACCAAACCAAAGATAAAGAAAAAGAGGGACTTACCCAGGAGGCGATCGTCACTCGCTCCCCAACTCGAAGTAGAGACAAGTGGCTGCAACCAGCGACCCAAGGCTACACACGCCCAAGAAGGGCCAGGAACATTAACGAGATACCGTGCGACCAGGACCCTGTTCGACCTCCAAAACCCCCGTGCCCGAATGTCAGCCTAGGACATAAGTATTTCCCAAAACAGCAGCCAAAGCCGCGAACTTACGAATGTCATGGACACGGGGATAGACCGCAGGCTGGCTGGAACGAATAATCCTGCGGACGACCTGGGAGACCCGCGCCCTGGAACAGGGAAAAAGGGAAACCGGGTCCACCCAAAGTACGTCCCCTGCCACGGAGGCCGTGGCGCGCAGATAACGGCGAAGAGCCGCAACTGGACAAAACATGATTTACCCCCGGCCAAACCAACCAAGAATCAACAACCCAAGGACCCCTTCGGAAAGCAGCAGACTCATTCTTCGCCAGAAAAGGAGGAGAAGGCTGCAAACGAACGAAACGATCACCAGGACCGAGAGAGCAAAAACCCCTGCGCTGGAGGAGAGCATGAAGCTCCCCGACCCGACCCCCAGAGGCCAATGCCAACAAGAAAAAGAGCCTTAGAAAAACAGTCCTGAACCGATGGGGCTACCACAAACCGAGGAGAAGAGAGAAAAGAGAGCCTACTGTCCAACGACCAGGATGGCTCAGGTGGCGCATGAGCAGGCCGGAGGTGAAACAACGCCCAAGAAAGCTTGCGGAACAGAGCAGAAGTGACATCCACCCTGAATGCCAGCTGCAGCGGCTCCGTCAACGCCGCACAATACGGGGCGATAGTATTTGGCATAAGATGACGGTCCTGAAACAACCAAGAGAGAAAGGACAAACCAACCCGATCAGAAATCGAAGACAACCTATGGAGACAAAAAAATGCTAAAAGGACCACCAGGAAATTTTATACTACCGTCTAAAACAAACCCGCAGGTGGGACACCATCAACAAAGCCACCTGATCACCTTACAAGTGTTTTTTTTTTTTTGCAGGGATATTCCTGCACGGGCCCTAAGCCTTTGGCTGGCCCACTAAGTGTTGCTTGTTTCTGTCTTACTTGGGCGGAGTATGAGTATTTATGACTCGTATGGTTGCTTCAGTAAGATTTTGCCATATGTGTTTAACAACTTCTGCTCTGTTGAATTGAAGTTAAAATCTTAATGGGTTTGTAACTGTGCATTGTGTTAGATAATGTTCCAGTGGTCTGTCAGGCATTTCTCCACAGTGCTGACATTTTCTCTCATCTTCCGAAACCTGTAAGCCTATTTCCCATGCATACAAGTGTTGATACACCAGCGTCAAAAAGACCAAATGCGAAGAGTGGAGAAGATCGAACCAGCCACGTACCGGATCGGACCGATGGGGCCGGCCGGCCGAGCAGACAGCACGCTGGACACGTGATCCTGTGGTCCCAAGCTCGATCCTGGGCGCCGGCGAGAAGCGATGGGCAGAGTTTCTTTCACCCTGATGCCCCTGTTACCTAGCAGTAAATAGGTATCTGGGAGTTAGTAAAGCTGTCATGGGCTGCTTCCTGGGGGTGGAGGCTTGGTTGAGGATCGGGCCACAGGGACACTAAAAAGCCCCGAAATCAACTCAAGATAATCTCAAGATCTGCTGAAAGAGGCGTAGCCGCGGGAAGACCCTCAAGTTCGGACATCGAGCAAGAAGCACCTGAAACCAGGGCTGGGCTGGCCACTAAGGAGCCAACAGAACTACTCTCCCCGGGTAAGTCTCCAACCGAGCCAGGATCCAGAGCAACAACCAGACCGGTGGGAAGAGGTACAGGTAACTCCACCTCGACCAGTCCAGCCGAAAGGCATCGACCCCGATGGCCTCGCGGTCTGGGAAGGGCGCCACATAAACTGGAAGACACCTCGACAACGCTGATGCGAAGAGGTCCACTTCTGGGCGCCCGTACGTCCAGCAGAGACAACTGAATGAGTCGGCGTTGACGGTCCATTCCGTGGAAAGGGGAATGAACCGAGACAGGCCATCCGCTAGGACATTTGACACCCCCTGAACATGAACTGCCAGGAGAGCCAAACCCCGAGAACTCAGACGAGTCACCTAAAGCGACCAGCCCCAAAGAAAGAAGGACCGCATCGAACCCCCGCAGTTCAGGCAATGAACCACCGGGAAGCAGACTGAATGGAGACAGATCGTTGCTCCTCAAGCGACACAAATCCTCTGAAGCGAATGCCACACCGCCACAAATTTCCGCGTCATGCTGTGAGCTCAGCGGAAGAACGGACCCCACCAACCCTGGCCGGCCTGGTGAGCACTTGTCACAATACCCCAGCTGAGAGACGAGGCATCCATGAACACATCAAGCAAGCGAGGGCTCGGGGAGGCGCCACGGCACAGAACCCTGAAAACCCCGCAGAGGAAGCCTGGCAATGCAGTAGCCGATGACGCAGCAGCCGACGCAAGACTCCCGGGATCCGAACCCATCAATCGCGAGAGCGGTGGAAGGGACGACCCTGAAGAAACCAGAACATCCGCCGAAACCAGATCCGACCCGATGAGTAGACCAGCACGGCGAAGTTCAGGCTCCTGCACAAATGCTCGAACAACCAACGTGTGACCCGGGTGCCCTCCAAAAACAGCCGGAGGCGGGACTACAGCCACAACAGCATCGCAGGAGGGAGAGACAAGGAAGCAGTCCGAGAGTCCCCACACAAGACCCAGCAAAGTCTAAACCTGAGAGGGAAGCAAATGGGACTTCCTCCAGTTCGTCATGAACCCGAACCCGGCGAGCTGGGAAAGAACCAAATCCCTGACGAACAGACATGCGGACTGGCTGGGAGCCCACACCAGCCAGTCGTCGTGGTAAGCCAAACCCGAACTCTTAACAGACGCAAACGGGTCACCACAACCCGGGTAAGGTGTGTGAACACTCGAGGTGCCAGATTCAAACCAAATGGAAGGCAATGAAAGCGAAAAGCTTGTCGCCCCACAACAAAACTGAGCCAGTCCTTAAACTCCAGATGAATCGGGACGT